TACAAAAGAAACTGGCTGAGGTTTTAAAATTTAAAAAGGAAATACAAATGACAAACCAAGACAGTGACCTAGATAATTTTTTCCTGTTGAATTTACAAAAGAAGCTTGTTAAAGCCTTGAAGAACTCTGTGTGATGGGATAAAGAAGAAATGAAGAGAAATCAAATCCTATGATAATATTTAAATGAACGAAAGGGTAAGACTGTGAGAAGTAAATAGAGTTAACAAATAAAGTAAACAAAGTAAATAAAGTTGATTTATTTGATCAAGGTTAAAACAAGATATGTTGTTACTTCTGGCAGCCCTTTATAGACTTCCTGCTGACACCATGACTGAAAAGATGATGTTTTATGGAATTGTTTATAGATAAGAGATGAGATAGAAGATGAAGAGATAAATGTAACTTTAGAAAGGGTTACTAAATTTGTTTATACTTGCTGTGATGAAGGTTGGAAGTCGCTTCTTTATATATATTTTTTCTCTTTATTATATTCTTACTTTTCTCCTTTTTCTTTTTTCTTTTTTTTTGCACTTCTTACTCTTTCTCTCTATTCTGTTTTAAGTTTACTTTGTATTAGATGTTACTATTATAATCAAAATTTTATATATACACACACCCTGCCAACTTTCCAGAGATTATCTACAGTGAGGCTGAATTCTGCACTCACTCAGTTTGTTTCATTTTGGTGGCTACTTACTTTTGTGGCCTTTATGTAGAAGAATAACTCCTGTTAGAAGTGGATGCTGATTTGCTCTCCATCTGATCCCACCTTGGGTTCAGAGATATATTCATGAGATACAATGGCTGAAGCCTAAAAAAAGCACCATAACTTGATTTCATATCCCCAGCATCAGTGAAGAATAATTCTGAATGATGGATCCCAATTTTGGTTTTACTTTTTATCTACATTAATAGATGTAGATCACATTGTAAAGACTGCAGTTTATAATTCCAATCTTTAAGAAGGACAGGAAATATGAACTATTTAATTATTATCCACTCAATCAACCAGTAATTGATTTATCTCACAATACTTTGCTAGCCCCTAGGTCAGTCAGATTCCTGGCAGTTTACAACATAGATGAAGTAAAAATTGAAAGCCACAATAACAAAATGGTACAATATAATGATTGCCACACTCAGCTAACCATCTAAATCCTGAATGCCTACTCAGAGAACACAGTTGTAAGCAACTTCTTAAAGCCTTAAATGGAGGGTACTGTTTTACCTCCAGGGACGAAGAGGGCCACCATAGAAAAGGACAGCTTTCAAGCCGATGTTCCTTTGCACTCATGCAGGGATGGGACTCTCAGCAGCCCCTCCCTGCATTCACAGACTGGACAGATTCCATGGCTTTCACCTCCTATCCACAGGAGCCACAGTCCAGGAGAACACCAAAGCTGCAGACTAGCTCTATGAGGGGGAGAATGACCTTATGTGGAGTTAGTACTGGATCACCTTGGGGCCAATATCCCCAACTTACTGGAATTAAGTCTGAATCTATGTGGTGATGTAAAGTTGAATATCATCGCATACTGGTGTCCCCACTCCAAACCTGCAGTTATTAAAGAGGAATAGGAAAGGGGTTGAGCCCTGAGGCACCCAATACTAGTGTTCCCAACTGCACTCCCCCCAATGATTGACTAGAACTGCCTATGAAGGTAGGAACTACCCCAAAGGGTACTTCATCCCCCATCCCAGCAGTTCAGAAGCATATCATGTCTATTGTATCATTGTGATACAAATTTTATAAGTTGCACATGTGTGAATGTGTGTACATGCTCTTTCTCTCACTCACATACTTATATCTACAGGATATCTCAGAAGTCAAAAATTGGCAGTAAACAGATTTCTTAAATTATTTTTTATTTTAAAAAATTAATAAAGATGTGCCAGAGATGATAATTATAAAT